TTTGTGTGAGTGTGTGTGTGAGTGTGTGTGTGTGTGAGAGTGTGTGTGTGTGAGGGTGAGTGAGTGTGTGAGAGTGTGTGTGTGTGTGAGTGTATGTGTGTTTGTGAGCGTGTGAGTGTGCGTGTGGGAGTGAGTGTACGTGTGTGTTTGTGAGTGTGTGTGAGTGTATGTGTGTGTCTGTGAGCGTGTGAGTGTGAGTGAGTGTATGTCTGTGTGTGTTTGTGTGTGTGTGTGTGAGTGTGAGTGTATTTGAGCGTGTGAGTGTGTCTGTGTGGGAGTGAGTGTATGTGTGTGTTTGTGAGTGTGAGTGTGTGTTAGTGTGAGTGTGTGTGTGAGTGTATGTGTGTGTTTGTGAGCGTGTGAGTGTGTGTGTGAGTGTGAGTGTGAGAGTGAGTGTATGTGTGTGTGTGTGTTTGTGAGTGTGAGTGTAAGTGTGTGAGTGTGAGTGTGTGAGTGAGTGTGAGTGTGAGTGTATGTGTGTGTTTGTGAGCGTGTGAGTGTGTGTGAGTGTGTGCGATAGTAATAGCTATGACAAGATGGCATAGTATCAAGGTTATAAGTTATTTCAACGAAGGCCTGTTGCATCACAACGGTTTTTCGTCGGAAAGTTTAGAATCTGCGATTGAGGTCTCGCTTTTGGTTGGTTTAGTCTGTCATACAGAGCATGAAACAAATATCCAACATCCAATGTATGGGTGGGCAAGTCTAGATTACTGCAGTTTCTCTGAGCTACTTCCAATTATATTTTATAAAGATGATATAACAGGTGTTTTTTTCTGTCAGATATGTTCATTTCGGAGACTAGACGTTAGCCTAGGGATGGTTCACAGATGAAAATATCACCTTCTGATGTTATCGCTACGAGTGTGTATAGTTAAACATGCCATTCATCTGTTACCCAAGGGGCCCCTAACCCTCAAACCTCTGACCACCGTGACCCCTAACCCTCACGCCTCTTAATTCAGAGACCCCCAACCCTCATTCCTCTGAACCACGGGACCTCAAACCATTACGCCTCTGACCCCCTGAACCCCCAACCCTCACGCCTTTGACCCCTGGGACCCCAACCCTAACGCCTCTTACCCCAGAGACCATCAATCTTCACGCCCCTGATCCAGGGACACCCAACCCTCATCCCCCCCCTGGACCCCTAACCCTTACGCCTCTGACCCCAAGGATCACCAACCCTCAGGCCTCTGATCCGCGGGACCCCTAACCCTTACGCCTCTGACCCCAAGGATCACCAACCCTCAGGCCTCTGATCCGCGGGACCCGAAACCCTCACGCCTCTGAGCTCCGGGATCCCTGACCCTTACGCCTCTGACCCCAAGGATCACCAACCCTCACGCCTCTGATCCCCGGGACCCGAAACCCTCACGCCTCTGAGCTCAAGGATCCCTGACCCTTACGCCTCTGACCCCAAGGATCACCAACCCTCAGGCCTCTGATCCGCGGGACACCTAACCCTTACGCCTCTGACCCATGGGACCACCAACCCCCACTCCAGACACCCCGAACCTTCAGGCCCCTGAATTCGGGACCCCCAACCCTCACGCCTCTGACCGCCGGGGCCCCTAACCCCTTACGCTTCTGACCCCGGGACCCCTAACCCTCAAGTCTCTGACCCCGGGACCTCCAACCCTCACGCCTCTGACCCCCGGGACCTCCAACCCTCACGCCTCTGACCCCCGGGACCCCAACCCTCAAGCCTCTTACCTCATAGAAGCCGAACCTTCACGCCCCTGACTCCGGGACCCCCAACCCTCCGGTCTCTGACCCCGGGACCTCAAACCCTCACGCCTCTGACCCCAAAGGCCGTAACCCTCACGCCTCTGACCCCGGGACCCCAAATAATTAACACTTCTGACCTTCTAAACCCCTAACCGGCACGCCTCTAATACCCGGGACCCAAACCTTCACGCCTCTTACCTCAGAGACACCCAACCCTCACGCCCTTGATCCCCGGGACCCGAAACCCTCACGCCTCTGAGCTCCGGGATCCCTGACCCTTACGCCTCTGACCCCAAGGATCACCAACCCTCAGGCCTCTGATCCGCGGGACACCTAACCCTTACGCCTCTGACCCATGGGACCACCAACCCCCACTCCAGAGACCCCGAACCTTCAGGCCCCTGAATTCGGGACCCCCAACCCTCACGCCTCTGACCGCCGGGGCCCCTAACCCTTACGCTTCTGACCCCGGGACCCCTAACCCTCAGGTCTCTGACCCCGGGACCTCCAACCCTCACGCCTCTGACCCCCGGGACCTCCAACCCTCACGCCTCTGACCCCCGGGACCCCAACCCTAAAGCCTCTTACCTCAGAGACCCCCAACCTTCACGCCCCTGACCCCGGGACCTCCAATCCTCACGCCTCTGACCCCCCAAGGCCGCAACCTTCACGCCTGTGACCTCCAAGGCCGCAACCCTCACGCCTCTGACCCCCGGGACCCAAACCCTCAAGCCTCTTACCTCATAGACCCCGAACCTTCACGCCCCTGACCCCGGGACCTCCAACCCTCACGCCTCTGACCCCAAAGGCCGCAACCCTCACGCCTCTGACCCCCGGGACCCCAAATAATTAACACTTCTGACCTTCTAAACCCCTAACCGGCACGCCTCTAATACCCGGGACCCAAACCTTCACGCCTCTTACCTCAGAGACACCCAACCCTCCGGTCTCTGACCCCGGGACCTCCAACCCTCACGCCTCTGACCCCAAAGGCCGCAACCCTCACGCCTCTGACCCCCGGGACCCCAAATAATTAACACTTCTGACCTTCTAAACCCCTAACCGGCACGCCTCTGATCCCCGGGACCCGAAACCCTCACGCCTCTGAGCTCCGGGATCCCTGACCCCCGGGACCTCGAACCCTCACGCCTCTGACCCATGGGACTCCCAACCTTCACGCCCCTTACCTCATAGACCCCGAACCTTCACGCCCCTGACCCCGGGAAAGTTAGCCATCACGCGTCTGTCCACCGGGACCTCCAACCCTCACGCCTCTGATCCCAGGGACCTCTATCCTTCACGCCTCTTACCTCAGAGACCCCCAACCCTCACGCCTCTTACCTCATAGACCCCAGGCCTTCACGCCCCTGACCCCGGGACAGCCAACCATCACACTTCTGACCACCGGGACCTCCAACCCTCACACCCCTGACCCCCGAGACCTCCAACCCTCACGCCTCAGACCCCCGGGACCTCCACCCTCACGCCTCTGACCCCCAGTACCCCTAATTCTTACGCCTCTGACCCCCAGGACCACTAACCCTCACTCCAGAGACCCCGAACCTTCACGCCCCTGACTCCGGGACCCCCAACCCTCACGCCTCTGACCCCCGGGACCGCCAACCCTCAGGTCTCTGACCCCGGGACCACCAACCCTCACCCCAGAGACCCCGAACCTTCACGCCCCTGACTCCGGAACCCCAAAACCTCACGCCTCTGACCCCCGGGACCGCCAACCCTCACGCCTCTGAAAGCCGGGGCCCCTAACCCTCACGCCTCTGACCCCCGGGACCCCAACCCGCAAGCCTCTTACCTCATACACCACCAGCCCTTACGCCTCTGACCCCTGGGACACCCTAACCATCACGCCTCTGACCCCCGGAACACCCTAACCCTAACACCTCTAAGCCCCGGGACCCCCAACCCTCACGCCTCTTACCTCAGAGACCCCAACCCTCAAGCCTCTTACCCCAGAGACCCCCAACCTTCACGCCCCTGACCCCGGGACCCCCAACCCTCATTCCCCTGACTCCCAGGACCCCTAACCCTAACACCTCTAAGCCCCTGAACCCCAACCCGCAGGCCTCTGACCCAAAGGACCCCAATCCTAACGCCTCTTACTCCAGAGAACCCCAACCTTCACGCCCCTGACCCCGGGACCCCAAAATCTCATTCCTCTCATCCCGGGGACCCCCAACCCTCACGCTTCTGACCCCGGACCTCCAAACATCGCCTCTGGCCCCCCGGGACCCCAAACCCTCACGCTTCTGACCCCTGACCTCCAATCCACGCCTCTGACCCCCGGGACCCCAAACCCTCACAACTGGCCCCCGAACCCTCCAACCCTCACGCCTCTGATCCCCGGAGGCACCAGCAGACCACACGGCGTCAGGCATCTGATAACACACTATCACCCTAAGGACGGCGATCATTGACGATTAACAGTGTAATCTTTACCCGGCAGCGCAACGTTTCGGAGAATATACTTACTCCTTCATTAGAAATAAATACTATGAGGCACAGAACATACATACATACATACATACATACATACATACATACATACATACATACATATATATATATATATATATATATATATATATATATATATATATATATATATATATATATATTTAGTCAAGTCCCGTTAATCCGACATGGTTGGTTGCATATGATTATGTCAGATTAACGAGTATTTCGGATAACCGAAATTAAGTTGTATCAGCGTTCGTGATCGGAAACGTCACGACAGATAACGATAAAAACACGTTTTAATAAAAAAAACTGAAAACTGAAATATCCATATTGTTATGTTACATTGTTTGCGGAATATGTTTTCTAATCATACAAACTCTAGAGCTAAACACAAAACTATGGTTAGGGCTGTATGACTTATTCAAATATATATATATACATAGTCTGGAATGGAAGTTGCCAGTTTGAAACTAGTGACGCAAAGCTGATGAAGGAGTAAGTATATACTCCGAAACGTTGTGTTCCCCATAATAAAGACACAGATCCATAAAGTCCTTGCTTATGTGTATCACTTCTAAATGCCTTTCTAAGACTTGAATGATATCATAAAAAAAAGTTCACTAAAAGTAAAGCTCTGGTTATCTCAGCCCTCACTGACCAGGGTCCTCGGGGCACCGACCTTATCAAGCAAAGCACGATAGCATCAAAATGACCACGATTATCAGTGAAGTAAAAATGAGAGATATTACACGGGTATATAGAGCGTTGCAGTGTGGCAGCGTACATCAACTGTAACATACACATACCTGACTGGTTCCGTTTGTCAGAGCAGATATTTCCCTTAATACGTTTTAGTCTGTTAAAGTGGTAACGTGTTAAGGTATTTTCCGCCATGGTCGTCGCGATGCTGCTTGTGCTGATGTTGGTGGCTGTGACGCCAGTGCGGCCTCTGTCGTTCATGGACGAGTCACAATTTGGAGTATCAGGTAGGTCTTTGGTACACTGCGGGACATCGGGACCCATTATGTGGAAATAATCCAGCCCATTTAATGCTATGTAATTATATGTTTCTATTGATTATTCCGTTATAAGGCCACCGGACCATTATACAAAGTATAATACATTGGAGGCAATGATGGTATTCTGATTCTACTATTAATACTAAAGTATGCAAAATGGACAGAATCTTCAATATCTGTTAATATTATACTGTTGACCCATTTCTATCATTAAAGTATGACTAGAGCATCTAAATTTAGCAAACGTTTTAAGATAAATCATATTGTGAATAAAAAAATCATAACCTTCTAAACGATAAACTTTGAAGAAGCTGTGATATTATCGTTCCATATCTGTACATCAATATCTTTACAGCGTTTTACAAACTGGTCAATAACCAATAAACATGGTCAAATTAACATAGCTAAATCCTTGATGGAGCCAAACTTCTCCAAAACTATTTTATCTAGACGTTTTTAGCACCTTAAGCCCTTGCTGCACTCGAAGCAGTACGCATGCTTAAGAATAATATTTGAATTTTGGCTCAACAATCGCAACCAATCAGTAATTATTCTCTTATATTGGAAAACCTTCAATGTAAATCGCCCAAACTCCCCTCTCGCAGATTTATTCAGGGTTTGGCGTTTAAGACCAAATACTGACTTACAAAATCCGTCATGAATTGTATCAACATCTGGGGATGGGTGGAAACCCCTTACCTCAGATCCATATAAAAAAGTGGCATGTTTTTAATATAACAAATATGAAGCTGTATACTTACAGGAATTGTTTAAGACATAAAGGATTTACATTGCAATATTAGGATAACTGTCCAAGCTTGTTGCGCAAAAGTATCATGAACGAGATGAAGAAAGATGCACACACAGATAATTATAGGAAGACACTATTTCAAGAGAATTAGTGTTAAAGCAATTGTTTTCATAACACCGTTATGGCCCACCATTTCTAAAAGCAATGATTTTACTTTTAGTAACCTTCAATTTCCATTTGTTACAATAGATATCAAATTTATCTAAACGCTTTTGTAGGCCAACTGAAGTAAAATCAGCAAACAGCAATATAAACAACTCCATTTGATCCAAGGTAATTCCTCTTTGTCCATCATAATTTAAAACGACTACAATATCATTGAAAAGAATTGAAAAAGGTGATATTTGACATCCCTGGCTCAATCAACATTTACATATAAAAAAGTCTGTACAGCCAACATCCATTGACATACAAGTTTGCATATGTTTGGTTAATCCATACAGTCTACCCTTAACCCCCTCATGCCAAAGTTAATACAATAGACAGGGTCGAATGTAGCCTTTAAATCCGTAAATGCACATTAGAAACGATTCCAATTCTGAAATAAGTACATTTTGATTACAGTATTCAAAATATATGATCTAAGGTCTGGAAATCCACCTGTTTATTTATCATGTTATCCTCAATATCAGCTCTTAATGCTAATCTAGAGCAGATACGTTTTGCAAATATTTTCCCTGCAACTTCCAATACTATGATAGGTCTAAAGTTTCCTTGATCATTGGAGCTTCCTTTCTTATAAATAGGCAAGGTAACACCATATGTCCACTGGTCGGGATACATTCCAGTCCGTGAGACAGCATTGTATAATTTTAATACAAAGTGGGGGTATATGTTAGAAAAATTCATTTGGCAAACCACTATATCCAGGTATTTGTTTCATATTTCATATTATGGATGGCTTCTAAGAGTTCAGATTCAGTCATATCAGATGCCATAAATGAATATTCATCAATTGAATTATTAATACATTCATCAGATAATGAATTTACAAAGTCTTAGATTGGTGAAAAGAAATAAATATAGTCGTCAAAATCACCCATGCCTCCAAATAGTCTCAAAGTGACATTTCTAATCCTTTGGTGTGATCGAGTTTGTTTTATGGTCTGGTGTACACGTATGACACGAAAGTTAGGGAAGTGTTTACTATCGTAGTCAAAGAAGGCTACTTTGGATTCCTCAACCAATTACCGTAAGCCATACAACTTGCTGGAAGTGAATGTTGCTTGACGTGATTGGTGGTTGACGTGAATGTTGCTTGACGCCAATGTTGCTTGACGTGAATGTTGCTTGACGCGAGTTGTTGCCTGAAGTGAATGTTGCTTGACGTGAATGTTGCTTGACGCGAATGTTCAGTGACGTGAATATTCATTGACGCGAATGTTCATTGACGTGATATTCAGTGACGTCAAAGTTCATTGACACGAATGTTCGGTGACGTGAATGTTCGGTGACGTAAAGGTTGCTTAACTTTAATTGTTGCTTTTGCAGATGTCGTAGATCTCATTGCGGTTGCGCACACACGGCAGAAGCGAAGCGTTGCCGGACTTCCGGGTTCACTAAGTTTCCGGTTTAAACTGGACGACTCGATCATCACATTGAACATGACCCGAAGTGCACGCGATATGGAGTCTATTCCTGTTTACATCAGACACAAAGGGGAGAGAACTCGGCAGGATAATTTGTCGAAGAATGAAGTAAGGCTCATATGTTACAAGAATCACAGTTCAACCCATGTCCTTCCTTAAATTGAAACTTTGTCGCACAATGTAACCTTACAAAATAGAATGCAGTTTTACAACATGCAATATGTATTTCAGAACGTGGCAATCTACCAAGACCCTTCTCGTGGCTCGGCCCTCATCGTGTCGCGGACAGGTGACGGTGGGTACCAGGCAGTAAGTAGAACTTCCGGAGACAACAGTCCAACCATGACTGCCGTGCTTATTTCTAAGTCCCCCCGTCTTTGCTATCGACAACAAACAGACATGGTTTCGAATGTTTAGTTGAGTGGATTTAAAGATTAACGTTTCCTCACCGTCAGTCCCTCTCTGTATGACTGCTTCAGATATTCATGAAACTGACCACCGATAACTGACCACTGATAACTGACCACTGATAACTGACCATTGATAACTGACCACTGATAACTGACCATTGATAACTGCTTACAGAAGCGTACTTCTATGTGATCGGCTTTGGCCTGCCAGGGTGTGAACTAATATAACATGGCGGCCTGTGTATTCTGTATGCTCTGTGTTCACCAGGCGGGAACATTCCATCACAAGGATAAACTCTTCAAGATTTGGCCACAGAGACACCAAGTAGACAAACGGAGTGCTCAGTTTGGTCCCAATCGCCACGAACTGCGCCCTGTCAAGCATTATGACCTTTCCCACGACGCTCGTGCTGTCCCAAGTAACTTCCTCACCAGCCAGCGTGGTAGAAGAAGTGTACGCAGTCAGCAGGGGGGTAAGTCATCGTAAAACAAAGTTTATAGTTTCCGCGTGCTACCGGTAGTGCAGACATGCTTACCCTTTTCGCCAACAACTGATGTCATCGCTGATTTTGTGTAATCAGCTGCTTATATAATTTTCACTGATGTTTTACCTTATGCCCAATGGAATCTGTTTTTACGGCGGTCGGGACTGGCTGTTGCCTGTCGTTAACGTAATATGTTATATGGTCAGTGGTGAACGTAGTTCCTGTACAAAATATACACTATGATCTGTTGTAGGAAGGCCGTTGTTCTTGTATATAAAATATACACTATGATCAGTTGTAGGAAAGTCGTAGTTCCTTTATAAAATATACACTATGATCAATTGCAGGAAAGTCGTAGTTCCTTTATAAAATATAGACTTTGATCAGTTGTAGGAAAATCGTAGTTCCTGTATAAAATATACACAATGATCAGTTGTAGGGAAGTCGTAGTTCCTGTATAAAATATATACTATGATCAATTGTCAGAAAGTCGTAGTTCCTGTATGAAATATATGCTATGATCAGTTGTAGGAAAGTCGTAGTTCCCGTATGAAATATACACTATGATCGGTTGTAGGAAGGCCGTAGTTTCTGTATAAGATAAACTCTATATGAATAGTAGGAAAGTCGTAGTTCCTGCATGAAATATACACTGTATGATTAGTAGGATAGTCGTAGTTCTTGTATATAAAATATACACTAAGCAATTATAGGAAAGCCGTAGCTCCTTTATGAAATAAACGCAATGATTAGTTGTAGGAAAGTCGTAGTTCCTGTATAAAATATATTCTATGATCAGTTGTAGGAAAGTCGTAGTTCCTGTATGAAATATACACTATGATCGGTTGTAGGAAGGCCGTAGTTCCTTTATAAAATATACACTATGATCAGTTGTAGGAAAGTCGTAGTTCCTGTATAAAATATATGCTATGATCAGTTGTAGGAAAGTCGTAGTTCCTGTATGAAATATATGCTATGATCAGTTGTAGGAAAGTCGTAGTTCCTGTATGAAATATACACTATGATCGGTTGTAGGAAGGCCGTAGTTCTTGTAATTAAATATACACTATGATCAGTTGTAAGAACGTCGTAGTTCCTGTGTGAAATATACACAATGATCAGTTTATCGAAAAGAATATTGTTCCCGAATATTATTGAAAGAAATGTATTATGCTTCAGTCCTGTACCTTGTCGCAATATATCAAATGGTTCGTCCCTAGGGAGGTCGTGCTCCCTTGTCCTCGTATTTGGCTTGAGCGGGAAAGATCCTGCAACGTTCGCGTTTTTTTCGGATTTCAAATCAAATCCTCATTCACTCCACTGGTGTACCAGTGGTTGAGATCGACTTTCGGAGTAAATCCAGCTGTTATTTTATTTACCTAAATTGCAAAGACTCTGAAAAGGACAAAATTCATCCTCCATTAACTAGAGGATTAACGATTGCTATTCAAGGGTTTTGAAGCTTTAAGTAAAGAACAGTCAAGACATCCGCAGCTCAAGTACGCCAGTGTGAGTGGGAGACTCGTCACCTACATCTACTGCTGCACTCCGCCAGTGTGAGTGGGAGACTCGTCACCTACATCTACTGCTGCACTCCGCCAGTGTGAGTGGGAGACTCGTCACCTACATCTACTGCTGCACTCCGCCAGTGTGAGTGGGAGACTCGTCACCTACATCTGCCGCTGCACTCCGCCAGTGTGAGTGGGAGACTCGTCACCTACATCTGCCGCTGCGCTCCGCCAGCGTGAGTGGGAGACTCGTCACCTACATCTACTGCTGCACTCCGCCAGCGTGAGTGGGAGACTCGTCACCTACATCTACTGCTGCACTTCGCCAGCGTGAGTTGGAGACTCGTCACCTACATCTACTGCTGCAATCCGCCAGTGTGAGTGGGAGACTCGTCACCCACATCTACTGCTGCACTCCGCCAGTGTGAGTGGGAGACTCGTCACCTACATCTACTGCTGCACTCCGCCAGTGTGAGTGGGAGACTCGTCACCTACATCTACTGCTGCACTCCGCCAGTGTGAGTGGGAGACTCGTCACCTACATCTACTGCTGCACTCCGCCAGTGTGAGTGGGAGACTCGTCACCTACATCTACTGCTGCACTCCAAGTTTCATTGTATGTACTTTTGCTATGTTCTATGATGAGTTACTTTTCCAGACATCTCAAGAGATCAAACCCTCCTCCACCGTCACCGACGTCAGGCCACACAGTACTACGTTGATCTCGGCATCTACTCCGACTTCTCCGACTATTCTTTGTAAGGATTTCCACAGAGTGGTGACTTAGTTATCAAAATCGACAGAGATATATGGTTAACTGTAGCTATGAAAGTCGACAGAGTTTGAGGGCTGACTATAGTTATGAAAGTCGACAATTTGAGCTGTGACTGTAGTTATGAAAGTCGACAGAGATAGAAGGTTTACTGCAGTTATGCAAGTCGACAGAGATAGAATGTTTACTATAGTTATGAAAGTCGACAGAGATAGAATGTTTACTGTAGTCATGCAAGTCGACAGAGATAGAAGGTTTACTGCAGTTATGCAAGTCGACAGAGATAGAATGTTTACTATAGTTATGAAAGTCGACAGAGATAGAAGGTTTACTGTAGTTATGAAAGTCGACAGAGATAGAATGTTTACTGTAGTTATGAAAGTCGACAGAGATAGAAAGTTTACTGTAGTTATGAAAGTCGACAAAGATAGAATGTTTACTATAGTTATGAAAGTCGACAATTTGAGCTGTGACTGTAGTTATGCAAGTCGATAGAGATAGAATGTTTACTGTAGTTATGAAAGTCGACAGAGATAGAATGTTTACTGCAGTTATGCAAGTCGACAGAGATAGAATGTTTACTGCAGTTATGCAAGTCGACAACGATAGAATGTTTACTGTAGTTATGCAAGTCGACAGAGATAGAATGTTTACTGCAGTTATGCAAGTCGACAGAGATAGAATGTTTACTGTAGTTATGCAAGTCGACAGAGATAGAATGTTTACTGTAGTTATGCAAGTCGACAACGCTAGAATGTTTACTGCAGTTATGAAAGTCGACAACGATAGAATGTTTACTGCAGTTATGCAAGTCGACAGAGATAGAATGTTGACTGCAGTTATGAAAGTCGACAGAGATAGAATGTTTACTGTAGTTAGGCAAGTCGACAGAGATAGAATGTTTACTGTAGTTATGCAAGTCGACAAAGATAGAATGTTTACTGCAGTTATGCAAGTCGACAGAGATAGAATGTTTACTGCAGTTATGCAAGTCGACAGAGATAGAATGTTTACTGCAGTTATGCAAGTCGACAGAGATAGAATGTTTACTGCAGTTAGGCAAGTCGACAGAGATAGAAAGTTTACTGTAGTTATGCAAGTCGACAAAGATAGAATGTTTACTGCAGTTATGCAAGTCGACAGAGATAGAAAGTTTACTGTAGTTATGCAAGTCGACAGAGATAGAATGTTTACTGCAGTTATGCAAGTCGACAGAGATAGAATGTTTACTGTAGTTATGAAAGTCGACAAAGATAGAATGTTTACTGTAGTTATGCAAGTCGACAGAGATAGAAAGTTTACTGTAGTTATGAAAGTCGACAAAGATAGAATGTTTACTGTAGTTATGCAAGTCGACAGAGATAGAAAGTTTACTGTAGTTATGAAAGTCGACAAAGATAGAATGTTTACTGTAGTTATGCAAGTCGACAAAGATAGAATGTTTACTGTAGTTATGCAAGTCGACAGAGATAGAAAGTTTACTGTAGTTATGAAAGTCGACAAAGATAGAATGTTTACTGTAGTTATGCAAGTCGACAAAGATAGAAAGTTTACTGTAGTTATGAAAGTCGACAAAGATAGAATGTTTACTGTAGTTATGCAAGTCGACAGAGATAGAAAGTTTACTGTAGTTATGAAAGTCGACAGAGATAGAATGTTTACTGTAGTTATGCAAGTCGACAGAGATAGAATGTTTACTGCAGTTATGCAAGTCGACAGAGATAGAAAGTTTACTGTAGTTATGCAAGTCGACAAAGATAGAATGTTTACTGTAGTTATGCAAGTCGACAGAGATAGAAAGTTTACTGTAGTTATGAAAGTCGACAAAGATAGAATGTTTACTGTAGTTATGCAAGTCGACAGAGATAGAATGTTTACTGCAGTTAGGAAAGTCGACAGAGATAGAATGTTTACTGCAGTTATGAAAGTCGACAGAGATAGAATGTTTACTGCAGTTATGCAAGTCGACAGAGATAGAATGTTTACTGTAGTTATGCAAGTCGACAGAGATAGAATGTTTACTGTAGTTATGAAAGTCGACAGAGATAGAATGTTTACTGTAGTTATGCAAGTCGACAGAGATAGAAAGTTTACTGTAGTTATGAAAGTCGACAAAGATAGAATGTTCACTGTAGTTATGCAAGTCGACAGAGATAGAATGTTTACTGCAGTTATGAAAGTCGACAAAGATAGAATGTTTACTGTAGTTATGCAAGTCGACAGAGATAGAATGTTTACTGTAGTTATGAAAGTCGACAGAGATAGAATGTTTACTGTAGTTATGCAAGTCGACAGAGATAGAATGTTTACTGTAGTTATGAAAGTCGACAAAGATAGAATGTTTACTGTAGTTATGCAAGTCGACAGAGATAGAAGGTTTACTGTAGTTATGCAAGTCGACAGAGCTTGAGCTGTGACTATAGTTTGACTGACAAATATAGAGTGACGAATATTTCGATAATTATGCTCATTGGACTATCGGTTTGGGTGGCGAAAGTAGGCATAACTTATTCTGGACTGTTTCTGTAGTAGGTTTTCTTATTTCAGTTTTTTGACGGAAGCGGCTAATGACGCCACCGCCGCCATGTCATTAATGAGAATCTACTACGCCTTTATTGAGGAGTCGGTGAGTGCAAGGACATCAATAGCTAGAATCATCTGTATACATGTACATCATCTAACTTCTCCAAATAATAATGATAGTGCGCTTCTGGAAAGCAAATACCAACAAACTACCACAGCTCGTTACTAGTCCGTGTAATAAAGTCGACTGCAATAATTCAGTGAAGTTATAAGATACGTTGTTATTGGCTACTGCATTAGTTAAGCTGAATTAGTTCAGTTGTGCCACTGCATGTAACATTTAGGCTATAATGACCATAATATATGTTCGTTGTTGATTCAGATTCAACTGCGCTACACCACAATTAACCAACAGGACGCTTCCATCATCGTCAACACCTGGACCAGCTTCCTCGACGTTGCAACAGTTAGCGTTCTTTCTTTCCACCATTCCTTTATGTCTGTCATCACCCTCTCCTGTAAATATCCTCCACCTGTCTGTCATCACCCTCACCTATGTCAATCTCCTCCACCTGTCTGTCATCACCCTCACCTATGTCAATCTCCTCTAACTGTCTCTCATCACCCTCACCTATGTCAATCTCCTCCACCTTTCTGTCATCACCCTCACCTATGTCAATCTCCTCCACCTGTCTGTCATCACCCTCACCTATGTCAATCTCCTCCACCTGTCTGTCATCACCCTCACCTATGTCAATCTCCTCCACCTGTCGGTCATCACCTTCACCTATGTCAATCTCCTCTACCTGTCTCTCATCACCCTCACCTATGTCAATCTCCTCCACCTTTCTGTCATCACCCTCACCTATGTCAATCTCCTCCACCTGTCTGTCATCACCCTCACCTATGTCAATCTCCTCCACCTGTCTGTCATCACCCTCTCCTTTAAATATCCTCCACCTGTCTGTCATCACCCTCACCTATGTCAATCTCCTCTAACTGTCTCTCATCACCCTCACCTATGTCAATCTCCTCCACCTTTCTGTCATCACCCTCACCTATGTCAATCTCCTCCACCTGTCTGTCATCACCCTCACCTATGTCAATCTCCTCCACCTGTCTGTCATCACCCTCACCTATGTCAATCTCCTCCACCTGTCGGTCATCACCTTCACCTATGTCAATCTCCTCTACCTGTCTCTCATCACCCTCACCTATGTCAATCTCCTCCACCTTTCTGTCATCACCCTCACCTATGTCAATCTCCTCCACCTGTCTGTCATCACCCTCACCTATGTCAATCTCCTCCACCTGTCTGTCATCACCCTCTCCTTTAAATATCCTCCACCTTTCTGTCATCACCCTCACCTATGTCAATCTCCTCCACCTGTCGGTCATCACCCTCACCTATGTCAATCTCCTCTACCTGTCTCTCATCACCCTCACCTATGTCAATCTCCTCCACCCGTCTGTCATCACCCTCACCTATGTCAATCTCCTCCACCTGTCGGTCATCACCCTCACCTATGTCAATCTCCTCTACCTTTCTGTCATCACCCTCACCTATGTCAATCTCCTCCACCTGTCTGTCATCACCCTCACCTATGTCAATCTCCTCCACCTGTCTGTCATCACCCTCACCTATGTTAATCTCCTCCACCTTTCTGTCATCACCCTCACCTATGTCAATCTCCTCCACCTGTCTGTCATCACCCTCACCTATGTTAATCTCCTCCACCTTTCTGTCATCACCCTCACCTATGTCAATCTCCTCTACCTGTCTGTCATCACCCTCACCTATGTTAATCTCCTCCACCTTTCTGTCATCACCCTCACCTATGTCAATCTCCTCCACCTGTCTCTCATCACCCTCACCTATGTCAATCTCCTCCACCTGTCTGTCATCACCCTCACCTATGTTAATCTCCTCCACCTGTCTGTCATCACCCTCACCTATGTTAATCTCCTCCACCTTTCTGTCATCACCCTCACCTATGTCAATCTCCTCCACCTGTCTGTCATCACCCTCACCTATGTTAATCTCCTCCACCTGTCTGTCATCACCCTCTCCGATTTCAATCACCCACACCTCTCTTTCATCACCCACCCTGTCTGCCATCACCCACACCTCTCTTTCATCACCCACCCTGTCTGTCATCACCCACACCTCTCTTTCATCTCCCACCCTGTCTGTCATCACCCACACCTCTCTTTCATCACCCACCCTGTCTGTCATCACCCACACCTCTCTTTCATCACCCACCCTGTCTGTCATCACCCACACCTCTCTTTCATCACCCACCCTGTCTGTCATCACCCACACCTCTCTTTCATCTCCCACCCTGTCTGTCATCACCCACACCTCTCTTTCATCACCCACCCTGTCTGTCATCACCCACACCTCTCTTTCATCACCCACCCTGTCTGTCATCACCCACACCTCTCTTTCATCACCCACCCTGTCTGTCATCACCCCGCTCTCTCAACTGTAAATAAAATACTCAAAAGCATTCAGCAAGTCTTTAAATATTGCATTTAGTGTGAGTGAGTTAGTTAAAATGTAGAGTCACATCGGCAGTATTTCAACCATATCGTGACTACAACTATTTGAAAATACATACGAAACATTTGCAACGTTCTAAAATACCTGTTAAATTCCTTTAGAATAGTGGGTTAAATAATACTATTATTTCAAAAATCATCGTTGAAGCACTGAATTATTTACTGTCGTGCATGACGAAGCTAGATGCTAACGCTAACCCCAACCCTAGCCCTGATGACGGTAAATACTAACCCTTTCCCTAACCCTAACCCTAACCCTAACCCTAACCCTAAACCTGATGGAGCTAGATACTAATGGGTTTTTCTTTCCACAGACTCCTTCAGATTCGCCATGGACAGAAACTATCAAAACTGGGAATTTAGTTGAAGACGATGCCGCCCTCAACCTTTTCAGCAACTTTATCACAAACACTGGCGCCAGTGGCACCGCCTCCCATTTTATGGCCTTCACAAGGTATCGTATAATAGGACCTTTACAGAAGGCATTTTCATAACAAAACCTTCATCAAGTGACAGTTTCATAAAATGACCTTTACTATTTAAAAGCTGTATAAATACATGAACAATTATATTATATAAACGTCTGTTATGACTTGCTGTGGGAAGATAATCATTGTTTAACTTATACGTCACGTCTCTTGCAGACTTAACCTTCAGGACAACGGGAACACCAACGTAGCAGGTGCGTGTGACGTCAGTGACATATGTAACATCAGGGCACTCCAATGTTGGCGAAAAAGCCACGCGCGCAAACGTTCAACATGTCGGTGAAAGCCCACGATCGAGAATATGTTGTGCACACAACAACCTGTCATACGGGAGGCAAATCTGCCCATAGCCAGAACCATATTCTCCGAACACGAAGGAACTTCTACTTTGGAGCTCTGATCTTGAAGTCACGGTTCCTCTTCATCTTGAATATCTTCCGAAAACATACATAAATCTATCTCCCATATTCCTAAACATTACACACAGAACCGTGACTCTACCATACACCAATCTCGCTCCCCTTTGTCTACACATTCAACACAACATACTCTACCCTCCGTGTATCTGACACCCTTATCCCTTCCTAATGTTTCAATGTTTCATGCATTGGTTGTTTCAGGAATTGCTAACCTTAATGCTGTGTGTTTGGACATCGGAGTTTCCTTGAACGAAAACACATTTGATGGTTTCACGGGCGCTATAGCTTCCCATGAACTCGGCCACAGGTAAGTGTTGGGATCTTCAGGTGTGGAGGTAACACTAAGGGATTCTCAAACTATATACGAGTACATCCAGTTTCACGAAGAATAGGCTTCACAAACTATATAGATTTATATATCTCTACATCTACATTAACCCACTTTAGATGTATGACAGGCAGCTCACTACATTGACATAGTATCTTATTTCGTACTTGCAGCTTGAGTGCCCGCCACGACTCCCTTGTTGGCTGCAACGACGCTGACAACTTCGTTATGACGGCGATCCTTAACTTCCCTACCCTCCCCAATCCTGGCAATCTTTGGTCATTCTCCACTTGTTCTGTCACGGCCATCAGGAGCTACCTGACATCGCCGCAGTGAGTCACTCATGCAGTATTGGAAATATATGGCGACACAACGTTTTCACATACTCTTGGTGGTATTTCCTCTCCAAAACAAGATGAGGCAATTCGAAAACAATAGATGTTTACAAGAATACAAAGACGTGTCACGTGATGGTAATGGGTAGAATAAGATGAAAGGCTGCGTGTCACATGACACTCGATAGAACATAGCGGTGTAATGTAAGGATGTAACAACCAAGAGAGACGACTTGATCAAAAATCCGTCATGCCACCACGATTGGACAAACATGAGTTTCTACAGCGTGTCATGTTCATTGGAAATCTTGGTAGAAAGAGCATGCTGGAGTGTACCTCAAAAGCTGGGTACCAAGGGCTTGGGCTGCAGGGATACTGCTCAATAGAAATCGCATGTTGAATATTGAAAAGTTGAAGACATCCCTCTTGTCATCCAGTCTTGTGGAGAGTGTTTCGTCACTCTGAATACTGAAGCATAGATCTAAAAATTGTGAAGTCAGTTTTCAAAGTTTTTCCTATGACGACAGATCATAACAGTTCATGATCCCCTACTTTTTTTGGAGAGTATATGTATGTTTGTTCCACGATCTTAGCTCTATGACTTTTATAATTCTATGTTTAAGCAAGCGTTAAAATTACGATAACGAGCTATGAGATCGCTTTGCGGAAGGAGAATGTAAAACAGTTACGTACGTGAATTATTGCATGTAATGTTTCAAGTGACTTTTTAATGTTACTCTGCAGGGCCGCCTGCACTCTCACACCGAACCCTGGGGGATCTGTTCTCCCCACCAATGGGCTGCGGGCAGGCCAGGTCACCAACGCTGACGCACAGTGCGCACGCATCGTCGGGACTGGGTCGAGGTTCTGCCGGGTAGGCTTGTTTCGTGATCTTTCAATAATGCTGCATCGATTACTGTGCAACCCGTTAACTTTTGTAGATTCTTTCCAGTGTCCTGGTTATCATCTTCAATCATCTTAGTAATTTCCCTGTGTCGTGTTGTAGACGTTCTATCAGTCGGGTACCCTCTTCGACGCAATGTGTCAAACTCTGTACTGCTCCGGCACCGATGGCAACGTCAACTCCTGCACCCTTGAGCTGGCGGCGGAACAAACGTCATGTGGCAGTATGAAGGTACGTTTACTAAGCTACTACAGCTACTACTGCTACTGCTACTACTACTACTACTAGAACTACTACTGCTACTACAGCTACTTCTACTGCTACTACAGCTACTTCTACTACTACTGCTACTACTACTACTATGACAACTACTACTACAACTACTACTACAACTAAAACTACTGCAACAACTACTACTACAACTACTACTACAACTACTACTACCACTACAACTAGTACTACTGCTACTGCTACTGCTACTACTACCTCCGAAATGTCCCCATTATGCACATGGACCGACAGTTTTAAACTTGTGTAAGCCACCTTTTATAACTGCTATGTATTAGAATCCAGGAGTAGATCTTTTACTAGATTCATACTAATTACGCCAGCTTCTACCACAATTGTGTTAATCCTACACTCATTGTCTCTCTCTCTTACAGTGGTGTGATCGTGGAGCGTGTGTCAGCAATGCCGCCGCCCCTGCAACAGCACGTGAGTCACCCGCATCTATCCGCATCCGCAACCGTTAGCCTCAATCTGCCCCCCATCAGCCTCCATCTGCAATGTCCAACTCGATCAGCCTCCATCAGTCGTCTTCGCATATGTCAGCCGCCATCATCCCCCATCCTCCATGTCCGCCGCCATCAGCCTTAACCAGCCTCCACCCCCCTATCCGCCTCCGTCTCCCGTGTCCTCATACGTCAGCCTCCGCTTCTTAATTAGTCAGTCTCCGCCAGCCTCCTTCCCTTGGTCCGACTTCATCTTGTTGCGGCAAGAAACATAGAACGATACGCTCACCAAAATTTTATTCATATTTTCGTTTCCACAACGTTGCAGCGTTAGCGTTAGTGTTATCTTATACATTCGTTGGTGATGATGAGGTTCAGAAAACTACAACGAGAAACAAAACACTTGCTAAGTTTTCAACACAAACCTGATCCGTTTAAAGTATACCAATAATCTAATTCCAAGTTGCAAAATAATAATAAATCAAATGTTTCATTTGTACATGAAGACAATATAAAGGTAAGGAAACAAAAACTCACATCTGTGTTCTGCCATAAACCACCCATGAACTCTTGACAACATGGAGGGCTTCTGTCCTACCCACAACATGTGCTTGTGATCATGTGATCAGGAGCCAGGATGTAGATAAAATATAAAAATTGCAAAAGTTTAAGCAGCTGGCTGGGCTTGAAACCTGTACCTCAGTAGAAACACATGATTAGATTGACGGTGAAAGGGATTTACTCATTAAACCAAGGTCACGTGAGAACTTAAGTTGATATTTTAAAATATTATGCTTATGTTATACTTTTCATAATTTGAAAGGTTAGACTAAGTTCTGCTCGTACATTACATGTGAGACGAGAGATGCACCTTCCACCAGTTGTATTCTACTGTAGTAAGACCACCACATAGGATGCACCTACTCCAGTTGTATTCACCTGTACTAAGACCACCGCATGGTATGCACCTTCCCCCTGTCGTTTTCTATTGTAGTAAGTTCAGCACATGGTATGAACCGTCCATCAGTTGTATTCTACTGTAGTAAGACCACCACATGGGATGCACCTTCCCCCAGTTATATTCTACTGTAGTAAGACCATCACATGGTATGAACCTTCCCCCAGTTGTACTGTATTCTAGTAAGACCATCACATGGGATGCACCTTCCCCAAGTTATATTCTACTCTAGTAAGACCACCACATGGGATGCACCTCCCCCCAGTTGTATTCTACTGTAGTAAGACCACCACATGGGATGCACCTTCCCCCAGTTATATTCTACTCTAGTAAGACCACCACATGGGATGCACCTTCCCCCAGTTATATTCTACTGTAGTAAGACCACCACATGGGATGCACCTTCCCCCAGTTGTATTCTACTGTAGTAAGACCACCACATGGGATGCACCTTCCCCCAGTTGTATTCTACTCTAGTAAGACCACCACATGGGATGAGCCTTTCCCCAGTTATATTCTACTGTAGTAAGACCATCACATGGTATGAACCTTCCCCAAGTTTAGTTCTACTGTAGTAAGACCACCACATGGGATGCACCTTCCCCCAGTTGTATTCTACTGTAGTAAGACCACCACATGGGATGTACCTTCCCCCAGTTGTATTCTACTGTAGTAAGACCATCACATGGTATGAACCTTCCCCAGGTTTAGTTCTACTGTAGTAAGACCACCACATGGGATGAACCTTCCCCCAGTTATATTCTACTGTAGTAAGACCATCACATGGAATGAACCTTCCCCCAGTTGTACTGTATTCTAGTAAGACCATCACATGGGATGCACCTTCCCCCAGTTATATTCTACTCTAGTAAGACCACCACATGGGATGCACCTTCCCCCAGTTGTACTGTATTCTAGTAAGACCATCACATGGGATGCACCTTCCCCCAGTTATATTCTACTCTAGTAAGACCACCACATGGGATGCACCTTCCCCCAGTTATATTCTACTGTAGTAAGACCACCACATGGGATGCACCTTCCCCCAGTTGTATTCTACTCTAGTAAGACCACCACATGGGATGAACCTTCCCCCAGTTATAATCTACTGTAGTAAGACCATCACATGGTATGAACCTTCCCCAAGTTTAGTTCTACTGTAGTAAGACCACCACATGGGATGCACCTTCCCCCAGTTGTACTGTATTCTAGTAAGACCATCACGCAGGATGAACCTTCCCCCAGTTATATTCTACTGTAGTAAGACCATCACATGGGATGCATCTCCTCCCAGTTGTATTCTACTGTAGTAAGACCACCACATGGGATGAGCCTTTCCCCAGTTGTATTCTACTGTAGTAAGACCATCACATGGGATGCATCTCCTCCCAGTTGTATTCTACTGTAGTAAGACCACCACATGGGATGAGCCTTTCCCCAGTTATATTCTACTGTAGTAAGTCCATCACATGGGATGAGCCTTTCCCCAGTTGTATTCTACTGTAGTAAGTCCATCACACGGGATGCACCTCCCCCCAGCTGTATTCTACTGTAGTAAGACCACCACACGGGATGCACCTCCCCCCAGCTGTATTCTACTCTAGTAAGACCATCACATGGGATGCACCTCCCCCCAGTTATATTCTACTGTAGTAAGACCACCACACGGGATGCACCTCCCCCCAGTTGTATTCTACTGTAGTAAGACCACCACACGGGATGCACCTCCCCCCAGCTGTATTCTACTCTAGTAAGACCATCACATGGGATGCACCTCCCCCCAGTTGTATTCTACTCTAGTAAGACCATCACATGGGATGCACCTCCCCCCAGCTGTATTCTACTCTAGTAAGACCATCACATGGGATGCACCTCCCCCCAGCTGTATTCTACTGTAGTAAGACCACCACACGGGATGCACCTCCCCCCAGCTGTATTCTACTCTAGTAAGACCATCACATGGGATGCACCTCCCCCCAGTTGTATTCTACTCTAGTAAGACCACCACACGGGATGCACCTCCCCCCAGCTGTATTCTACTCTAGTAAGACCACCACACGGGATGCACCTCCCCCCAGCTGTATTCTACTCTAGTAAGACCATCACATGGGATGCACCTCCCCCCAGTTGTATTCTACTGTAGTAAGACCATCACACGGGATGCACCTCCCCCCAGTTGTTTTCTACTGTAGTAAGACCATCACATGGGATGCATCTCCTCCAGTTGTATTCTACTCTAGTAAGAACACCACATGGGATGCACCTTCCCCTAGTTGTATTATACTCTATTAAGACAATCACGTAGGATCTACTTTCCTCCAGTTGTATTCTACTCTAGTAAGACCATCACGTGGGATCAACCTTCCCCCAGCTGTATTCTACTCTAGTAAGACCATCACGTAGGATCAACCTTCCCCCAGTTGTATTCTACTCCAGTAAGACCACCACATTGGATGAACCTTCCACCAGTAATAGTCTACTGCAATGAGACCACCACATGGGGTGCACCTTCCCCCAGTTGTATTCTACTGTTGTAAGATCACCACATGGGATGCACCTTCCCCCAGTTGTATGCTACTGTAGTAAGACCACCAAATGGGATGAACCTTCCCCCAGCTGTATTCTACTGTTGTAAGACCACCACATGGGGTGCACCTTCCCCCAGTTGTATTCAACTGTAGTAAGACCATCACATGGGATGCACCTTCCCCCAGTTGTATTCTATTGTAGAGGGTTCACCAAATTGGATGCACCTTCCCCTAGTTGTATTCTACTGTAGTAAGACCACCACATGGGATGCACCTTCCCCCAGTTGTATTCTATTGTAGAGGGTTCACCAAATTGGATGCACCTTCCCCTAGTTGTATTCTACTGTAGTAAGACCACCACATGGGGTGCACCTTCCCCTAGTTGTATTCTACTGTAGTAAGACCACCACATGGGATGCACCTTCCCCCAGTTGTATTCTATTGTAGAGGGTTCACCAAATTGGATGCACCTTCCCCTAGTTGTATTCTACTGTAGTAAGACCACCACATGGGATGCACCTTCCCCTAGTTGTATTCTACTGTAGTAAGACCACCACATGGGATGCACCTTCCCCTAGTTGTATTCTACTGTAGTAAGACCACCAAATAGGATGCGCCTTCCCCCAGTTGTAATTTACTGTAGTAAGACCACCACATGGGATGAACCTTCCCCTAGTTGTATTCTACTGTAGTAAGACCACCACATGGGATGCACCTTCCCCTAGTTGTATTCTACTGTAGTAAGACCACCACATGGGGTGCACCTTCCCCCAGTTGTATTCTACTGTAGTAAGACCACCACATGGGATGCACCTTCCCCCAGTTGTATTCTATTGTAGAGGGTTCACCAAATTGGATGCACCTTCCCCTAGTTGTATTCTACTGTAGTAAGACCACCACATGGGATGCACCTTCCCCTAGTTGTATTCTACTGTAGTAAGACCACCACAAAGGATGCGCCTTCCCCCAGTTGTAATTTACTGTAGTAAGACCACCACATGGGATGCACCTTCCCCTAGTTGTATTCTACTGTAGTAAGACCACCACATAGGATGCGCCTTCCCCCAGTTGTAATTTACTGTAGTAAGACCACCAAATAGGATGCGCCTTCCCCCAGTTGTAATTTACTGTAGTAAGACCACCACATGGGATGCACCTTCCCCTAGTTGTAATTTACTGTAGTAAGACCACCAAATAGGATGCGCCTTCCCCCAGTTGTAATTTACTGTAGTAAGACCACCACATGGGATGCACCTTCCACTAGTTGTAATTTACTGTAGTAAGACCACCACATGGGATGAACCTTCCCCCAGTTGTAATCTACTGGAGTAAGACCACCACATGGGATGCGCCTTCCCCCAGTTGTAATTTACTGTAGTAAGACCACCACATGGGATGAACCTTCCCCCAGTTGTAATCTACTGGAGTAAGACCACCACAGGAGATGCACCTTCCCCTAGTTGTAATCTGCTGTAGTAAGACCACCAAATGGGATGCACCTCCTCCAGTTGTATTCTACTGTAGTAAGATCCCCACATGAGATACAACTTCCCCCAGTTGTATTCTACTGAAGTAAGTTCACCAAATGGGATGCACCTTCCCCCAGTTGTAGTCTACGGTAGTAATAACACCACATGGGATGCACCTTCCCCTAGTTGTAGTCCCCTAGTTTTTTTTATCGGTGTGTTTTAAACGATTTCCCGAAGAGTAATGTTTGATTTTCGCTGGAGTCGTTGTCCTTTTGAATGGTACACAATACTTTGCACGTTTGAAATGTTTGTATATTTATGACACCCCATCCTCTCCCCGCAGCGAGCTGTCCTCAGGGTGATGACCCCGCATTTGGCTGCCAGGCCGGACAGTGTGGAGCGTACACCGCCTCTCAACTGCTGCTCTGCTGTGCTACATGCGCAACACCAACAACTACATCCACAACAACCACAGCAACGACTACTGCCACAACAACGACAACAGCAACCACCTTCCCTGCAACAGATACAGCATCATCAACAACGAGTACAACCACAACGACAACAACAACCACCTTCCCTGCAACAGATACAGCATCATCATCAACGAGTACAGCCACAACAACGACAACACCAACAACCACCTTCCCTGCAACAGATACAGCATCATCATCAACGAGTACAGCCACAACAACGACAACACCAACTGAGGCATCGACAACTTCATCAACAACACTCACATCAACAACAGACGGTCAAACTACACCATTTACTCCGGTAACCACTGTTGTGAGATTCATCATTCTGGTTTTCTAGAAGACGCCAACAGGGAAGCACTGCGGTGGACGTTGTAACGGAGAAATATACGATTGGTTTCACTGTGGTGGACGTCTTAACGGGAAAATATACGTTGGATTTCACTGCGGTGGACGTTTTAACGGGGAAATATACGTTGGATTTCACTGAGGTGGACGTTGTAACGGGGAAATGTAGGAACGGTTTCACTGAGGTGGACGTTGTAACGGGAAAATTAACGATGGGTTTCACTGAGGTGGACGTTGTAACGGGAAAATTAACGATGGGTTTCACTGAGGTGGACGTTGTAACGGGGAAATGTACGATGGGTTTCACTGAGGTGGACGTTGTAACGGGAAAATTAACGATGGGTTTCACTGAGGTGGACGTTGTAACGGGGAAATGTACGATGGGTTTCACTGAGGTGGACGTTGTAACGGGGAAATGTACGATGGGTTTCACTGAGGTGGACGTTGTAACGGGGAAATGTACGATGGGTTTCACTGAGGTGGACGTTGTAACGGGAAAATTAACGATGGGTTTCACTGAGGTGGACGTTGTAACGGGGAAATGTACGAACGGTTTCACTGCGGTGGGCGTTGTAACGGGAAAATTAACGATGGGTTTCACTGAGGTGGACGTTGTAACGGAGAAAAAAACGTTGGGTTTCAATGCGGTGGACGTTGTAACGGGGAAATTTACGACCGGTTTCACTTCAGTATCCATATGTTGAGGCTCTACAATTCGAGGTTGTCCATCAGTAAAGCCCTACTTGCCGGCTTACGTTGACGAGCAAACACTGCTGATCACTTACTGTAAATGTAAAAACAAGCATGTAATAAATCCTGTGAAGCCCAAATATTGCCCTGTTAAAGAGTATAAAACACAACTGTCACACATTATATCTTCGTGGATTACAAGAACGAGCACACCGCCTCCTGACTACCAGCGGAAGATATGCCTTTCCATTTTATTTCCATTTGAAATGTTGAAATGTTGAATAGACGCACAGATATTTCCTCCATATTTCTCTCCGTCCAATATATCAACAGATATTATAAAATCGAAACCAAGCAATGTGGTCCACAGATTACTTTTCAGGTTAAGACTTATTATGACCGACACTTTTGTGAGAAAGTGGTTGATGAAACGTCGTAAAATATTAGAAGCATGATCTGTTTCTTTCTGCATATTTCTGTTCGGATTGGCACAATCAAAACAAGTGAACTTGACCAAGAGGTTTAACTTAAGCCTTAGGTTCATCGATAATCTGATCGACTGTTTAATAATGGTCGAGCAGACAACTCCTTTCCATTGAATAACCAACAACAAGCAGAAATAAAAAGAGACCAATGGGTGAGTGAGTGAGTGAGTTTGGTTTAACGCCACTTTTAACAGTATTCCAGTTATATCGCAGGGTGTCAGCTTAATATGGGAGGAAAGCTCAAAGTGCTGCAGGTCTCAGACGTTTACCACTTCGGTGAAACCCACGAGCACGGGTATGGTACTGACAAACCTAGAAACATAATCGGGGCGAACCGGGATTCGAAACCGGTTCTGGCGTGCCCAAGGGACGCAACTCTGTAAACGAAAGAGACCAATCAAACCGCATCATAGATCTATGCATAAAGATTCAACAAGACTGTAAAGAGTAAACACTTCAACTATCCAAAAGTCAACTTCCCCATAAGGTCAAACAATATTCCAGTCTTTGAGGTACAATCGAGCATGCTCTTTCTATGATTTCAAAGAGCGTCTTACGACTCTTTCTCAAAAGTTGTTTGATCAGGGTTACAACATTCATGGCTTCAGTAAAGCTTTTAAAACCATTTATGGTAGACTTTCTTGAGGATATTTCCAAATTTGTGACAACAGTGACTAATGCTGTCCGATGGAATTTCCAAATTAGGTTTGCACCCAATGTTCAGGTGTTTATTGAGGTGTGTCTGTAAGGTGTGTCTGAAAGTTGTGTTTTTCTGGTGAACAATATTTGTGTTTTGGACGGGTGCCACGGGTGGGGGAGGTTACGCTCACATGTTCGACAACACCTGGTATCATCCCTATTGGATAAAACACAGGATTATTTAATAGTCGGATGAGTACAATTGTAAGGTTTGATTCAGGTTCAAAAGAACCCAGTAATTCATATAGACTCAGCAGTGTAATGTGGAGAACTGGATGGGATTAATGCGATCAGTTGTTTTCTTCTGAGCAGTGACATGGCTATCCATGGAGGCAGTGAGTCATAGCCGCCTCATACTTGTATGTTCCTGAGTCGTGGCAACTGCATGTTGCTGATGTTCTGAGTCATGGCAACTGCATGTTCCTGATGTTCTGAGTCATGGCAACTGCATGTTCCTGATGTTCTGAGTCGTGGCAACTGCATGTTCCTGATGTTCTGAGTCGTGGCAACTGCATGTTCCTGATGTTCTGAGTCATGGCAACTGCATGTTGCTGATGTTCTGAGTCATGGCAACTGCATGTTCCTGATGTTCTGAGTCATGGCAACTGCATGTTCCTGATGTTCTGAGTCATGGCAACTGCATGTTCCTGATGTTCTGAGTCGTGGCAACTGCATGTTCCTGATGTTCTGAGTCGTGGCAACTGCATGTTCCTGATGTTCTGAGTCACGGCAACTGCATGTTCCTGATGTTCTGAGTCGTGGCAACTGCATGTTCCTGATGTTCTGAGTCATGGCAACTGCATATGTTCCTGATGTTCTGAGTCATCGCAACTGCATGTTCATGATCTTCTAAGTCATCACATTTGATGCAAAGAAACAGGGCAAAGAATAGAGAGTCAAATAACTATTGCCACCTTAACAAAACATGACCTTAGATCATCGATGTAATCGAATTAATATGAACGGTGGGAAATAGAAATCAGAAATTATATTACAGAATATAATTTTTGAATATGGATTTTCATATGCAGAAGGCGTTGCAGAATCTTTTTCTCGGGTACATACACATACATCCACAAATATAACAAACGAATGATGATGGCTCAGTTAATTTAACTAGATAAATTATCAAATACAACAAAGATTAACATCCAATAAACTTCTTTACAAGCAACATAGATTTGTGATAATTCTGAAAGCCTACATGTGAAGAGGATGATCAGGGCAGATAACTCCTGTGCGTGTACCAGATCACCCTGTGGAATAAGGTTTTCTGTATTACTGACAGAGTGAGTGAGTGAGTTGGGTAAGGACTCTTTTAACAGGATTACAGTTATATCGCGGCGTGTCAACTTAATGTGTGAGGAAAGCCCGAAATGATGCATGTCACAGACGTTTACCACTTCGGTGAAACCTACGAGCACGGGTATGCTGCTGACAAACCTAGAAACGTAATCGGGGCGAACCTGGATTCGAACCCACACCCCCTACTAACAGAAGAAATATACAACAAACTGAGTGAGTGAATTGGTTTTATCGTGGCTTTGAACAGTTTTGCAGTTAGCAAAAGGGTCAACACATTGCACAGGGCCTCAGACAACTTGGCCATCCGTGATCCAAAACACTGACGTCACACTGGTACTGAAACGTCTTTGACGTAGGATTCAAGCTCTTTGTTTATATTTGTACCACATGTTTCAGTATATTTAAATAATTCAAAGGTAAAAATTAAAGTGGTCTACAACTTTTGAAATCTGCCTCAATACAGTAATACACGTAGAACATAGAACCAGTCTTCTCAAACATGTTTGTTTAGAAATGTGTGCCAAAAGCAGAAGATGAGTTAATAATGGTGTTTATAAGACAGGGAACAACATAATGCCACCAGGTATCATAGATTGGCACTTCGTTTCCTGTACACTGAAGGTTCGTGTGTGGCTACATGAAAGTCTGACTGAGGATATGACAATCAAATAGTTGTATATTCAACTTTGAGATCAGCTGTCGGTGATAGAGATGTCGTAGAATATACACGTGGCATACTGTCAAAGATTTAGCCGTTGACGGAGTGATGGACGGTGGCATGAACCTCCTCTACTATATTCTCATACAGGAATTAGTTATCGTGTCCAGGCGTCGGCGCCATTATAAGCAGGGTTTCAGGCACAAGTTGACAAACTCTGAAATCAGACAAAAGGAGTGTATGGTACACTGTCGCAATAAGCATTCTTACAAAACCACAAGTAAACTTCATATTTACTAAGGTACAGTGATCTACAACTACACATTACGATTTCGGGTGGTCAGGCTCGCTGACTTGAATGATGGATGTCACGGAATCCCAAGTACGTATAACGATGTTCATGATGTCAATCACTGGATTGTCTATTTACAGACCGCTGTCACAGAGCTTGAATATTGCGAGTGCGGCGTTAAACAACAAACAAACAAGACACCTGTAATCTGCTGACAAGACCCCCCTTCTCTTAAACCAAGACACCCCCACTGTTACCAAGACACCCCCACTGTTACCAAGACACCCCTACTGTTACCAAGACACCTATAATCTGCTGACAAGACACCCCTTCTCTTATACCAAGACACCCCTTCTCTTATACCAAGACACCCCCACTGTTACCAAGACACCCCTTCTCTTATACCAAGACACCCCTTCTCTTATACCAAGACACCCCCACTGTTACCAAGACCCCCCTTCTCTGATACCAAGACACCCCTTCTCTTATACCAAGACACCCCCACTGTTACGAAGACACCCCCACTGTTACCAAGACACCTCTACTCTGTTACCAAGACACCCCTTCTCTTATACCAAGACACCCCCACTGTTACCAAGACACCTCTACTCTGTTACCAAGACACCTCTACTCTGTTACCAAGACACCTCTACTCTGTTACCAAGACACCCCCACTGTTAACAAGACACCCCTACTGTTACCAAGACACCTCTACTCTGTTACCAAGACACCTCTTCTCTGATACCAAGACACCCCCACTGTTACCAAGACACCCCTACTGTTACCAAGACACCTCTTCTCTGATACCAAGACACCCCCACTGTTACCAAGACACCCCCACTGTTACCAAGACACCCCTTCTCTTATACCAAGACACCCCCACTGTTACCAAGACACTCCTTCTCTTATACCAAGACACCCCAACTGTTACCAAGACACCCCTACTCTGTTACCAAGACACCCCTTCTCTTATACCAAGACACCCCCACTGTTACCAAGACACCCCTACTCTGTTACCAAGACACCCCTTCTCTTATACCAAGACACCCCCACTGTTACCAAGACACCTCTACTCTGTTACCAAGACACCCCTTCTCTTATACCAAGACACCCCCACTGTTACCAAGACACCCCTACTGTTACCAAGACACCTCTACTCTGTTACCAAGACACCTCTTCTCTCATACCAAGACACCCTTACTCTGCTACTAAGACCCCTCTAATCTAAAGAAAAGACATCCCTTCTCAGATGACAAGACATCCCTACTCTGATAGTAAGACCCCCTTTTCTGATACCAAGACGCCCCTACTGTTACCAAGACACCCCTACTGTTACCAAGACACCCCCACTGTTACCAAGACACCTCTACTCTGTTACCAAGACACCCCTTCTCTTATACCAAGACACCCCCACTGTTACCAAGACACCTCTACTCTGTTACCAAGACACCTCTACTCTGTTACCAAGACACCTCTACTCTGTTACCAAGACACCCCCACTGTTAACAAGACACCCCTACTGTTACCAAGACACCTCTTCTCTGATACCAAGACACCCCCACTGTTACCAAGACACCCCTACTGTTACCAAGACACCTCTTCTCTGATACCAAGACACCCCCACTGTTACCAAGACACCCCCACTGTTACCAAGACACCCCTTCTCTTATACCAAGACACCCCCACTGTTACCAAGACACTCCTTCTCTTATACCAAGACACCCCAACTGTTACCAAGACACCCCTACTCTGTTACCAAGACACCCCTTCTCTTATACCAAGACACCCCCACTGTTACCAAGACACCCCTACTCTGTTACCAAGACACCCCTTCTCTTATACCAAGACACCCCCACTGTTACCAAGACACCTCTACTCCGTTACAAAGACACCCCTTCTCTTATACCAAGACACCCCCACTGTTACCAAGACACCCCTACTGTTACCAAGACACCTCTACTCTGTTACCAAGACACCTCTTCTCTCATACCAAGACACCCTTACTCTGCTACTAGGACCCCTCTAATCTAAAGAAAAGACATCCCTTCTCAGATGACAAGACATCCCTACTCTGATAGTAAGACCCCCTTTTCTGATACCAAGACGCCCCTACTGTTACCAAGACACCCCTACTGTTACCAAGACACCTCTTCTCTGAAACCAAGACCCCCCCTTCTCTGATGACAAGACACCCCTTCTCTGATGACAAAACTTCCCTACTTTCATACCAAGACCCCCTCCTCTGATACTAAGACCCCTCTTCTCTGATACTAAGACACCCTACTCTAATGACAAAACCTCCCTACTCTGTTACCAAGACACCCCTACTCAGTTACTAAGACACCCCTACTCTGATACCAAGATTTCCTACTCTGATGACAAGACACCCCTTCTCTGATACCAAAACATCTCTAATCTAAAGACAAGACACCCTTACTCTGATACCAAGACCCCCCTACACTGATACCAAAACATCTCTAATCTAAAGACAAGACACCCCCCCCCCCCCTTCTCTGATACCAAGACCCCCCTTCTCTGATACCAAGACCCGCCTTCTCTGATACCAAGACACTCCTTCTCTGATACCAAGACCCCCCTTCTCTGATACAAAGACCCCTCTACTCTGATACAAAGACCCCCCTACTCTGATACAAAGACACCCCTTCTCTGATACCAAGACCCCCCTTCTCTGATACCAAGACCCCTCTACTCTGATACCAAGACCCCCCTACTCTGATACCAAGACCCCCCTACTCTGTTACTAAGAGATCCACCCCTACTCTGATACCAAGATCCCCTTCTCTGTTCCAAAGACACACTTTTCTGATACTAAGACCCCCTACTCTGTTACCAAGACCCCCTACACTCATACTAAGACCCCCCTACTCTGTTACGATGACACCCCTTCCATGACACTAAAACACCCTTTCTCTGATACCAAGACACCCCTTCTCTGATACCAAGACCCCCCTACTCTGTTACTATGACACCCCTTCCATGACACTAAGACACCCTTTCTCTGATACTAAGACACCCCTACTCTTATACCAAGACCCCCCTTCTCTGATACCAAGACCCCCCTACTCTGATACTAAGACCTCCATACTCTGATACCAAGACATCCCTACTCTGATCACAGGACACCTATACTCTGAAACAGACAAAAAGACAAAGGTATCTCGAACCAAAGTGTCACGTTAACAGGCTAACAGTAACAGGCAATACAAAGACATTTGGTAAATTTGAAATCACCCTGATAGTCGATCTTGCCATCGCCATTGAGATCCGCGTACTTCATCATGTAGTCCAGTTCGGACTCAGAGAGCTGTTCTCCGAGGCTAGTGAGAACACCCTCGATCTCCTTCCTGTCGATGAACTTGTTACCGTCCCTGTCGAACGTCTTGAAGGCTCGCAACATCACGTCCAGGAATTCCTCTTTGGAGGGCATGCATTCCTTGGTTTCCTTCATGAACACCCGGAAGTCCCCGAAGTCGCACTTGCCATTGCCTACGTAAATATACTGTTCCTCAAAAGTTGTTTGATCGGGGTAATTATTTTTAGCTCCTTAAATAACTTTCAAAATCTTTTACGGAAGATGTCATTTTCCAAATTTTACGCATCAGTTGATGAGAAAATAATATCTGATGACATACTGCCGATGCTCCCAGATACGACAGTCACCAGACCCACCCGCCCATGCTCACCATCTTTGTCCAACCTCTTCGCCGCCTCGCACACAAGTTTCTCTGATGGATTAAAGTTCAGGCTGCGTAGCACGCTTCCCAGTTCCTTCAGAGAGATGGTCCCGTCGTTGTCCTTATCAAAAAGCTGAAAGGCGCGTCTCCAAACTGGAATAAAACATAATAAATACGGATACACACAAGAATATTGAACCACGTTATGATAGCGACATAATCAGTAGACATACTTGTAGAACCAGTGGCTACATAGCTGACATAATGCCGATGCAACGATAAAGTTTAAATCACTCTCACTAGTAGAACCATGTCAGGCGTGCAAAGTCAGTAGATTTAATAGTCATCATTGAATGTGATCATCGTGTATATATCTAAGAATACTGCTTCTATACATTATAGCCATAACGTCCTGTTTATGGTGAGAACCACACTATAATGTTTCATCTATGCAACTTCTGGTTATACGAACAGTATAGTCAGGCGATGTCTTATGACGTAAGTTCCGTTATGCACTTCTGTTCTGAGGTCTCCCATGAAGTCACTTCAAGTAGCAGTACATTGGTACATCCTAGATTAACATACATATATGTATACCACTTCATACTCCTTCACTCTATCATTTCAGTGTTGTCATATCACAAACTTACCCTGATGTATTCTGAAGTTCTGACTCCCAGTCTACAGCAAGACGTGTGTGGTAGGGAGGAGATCTGAGATTCCCGATGCTTTCTAATGACTCTGATATTGTCCTCGTAATCCACTGATTCAGGTAGGCTACGTGCATGATAACTACTGATGGACGCTCAGTCATATTCAGCCCTTAATATATTTTTGTACTTAAACAGTTGTGTTGTGCAACAAAATCTTTCATATATGAAATTTCATGAAACATTGATTGCACATTTTGTCAATCTGTCAGACAGTTGTATCTTTTCCGTGAACGCGTTAGTTAAAGGGTTAGCGTGACACTTGGTGGATATCAGCTGCCTCCTTCCAGCCTGGATGGTCCATGTGTGCGTGCATGTGCTTTTCTTGCAGGTCTCAGACATTAACTATTTCGGTGAAACTCACGAGTACGGGTATGGTGCTAACAAACCTAGAATCATAATCGGGGCGAACAAGGATTCGAACCCACAATCATAAGTTTCTGGCGTGCCCAAGGGACGCAAGTCTACACAGCGAAGCGCGGCGCCTTAGACGAATGGGCAACCAGTGCCCCGCCTCAGATGAGGATCACTACTGGTCTGATGTTTCCCAAAGACGGAGCAGACAGGCCTCATCCCACAACACGCTCTCTGAACTAACTACTGACTAGAGACTTCTGACATCTTATACCACTGTTCTCTGCTGTTGAACTGTTCACTGCATGTCTGCAGCACTTGCATGTCAGCAGAAATGGAGATGTAATATAACTTATCTAGTGTGGAACGGCAACCACGTGTTCAGAAAATGTTTATTGTTGTCATTTGGACACACAGGAAAGGAATAATGTTTTCCCGCCTTGCGCATGCAAGTATTGGATATGTTTGCAGTGAAGGGATCGTCTCTTGAAATTTTATAACGAAATTTATAGTGTGGTTCTCAGCATAAACAGGAATTTATGGCTATGATGCTATAGAGGTAGGGTATTCGAATGAATTAAATAGAACCACGTCATGTCTTGCGTGCGACAGTAAGATTTCATAGCTTTGTCGAAGCACGTGATGCGTCCGACAGAGTCAGTAGATTGAATAGTTGTGTAGAACAACCTTACCTTCTTCTTGAGCTGATTCCTCGGATTGTTTCGTTTGACTGTCAGCCTACAACACATATTCAAAATAACCGCTCAAACAAGCACATAACATACGTTCTTAATAGTTCCATTGTGTAGGATAGTTCATCACTTAAATTCCATTCCGCCCCAACTATTAGTGATAACATGGAACGTACAAACAGATACCCTCCTTGTTACTCTGTATTTCATACGAGACATGTACCCTCCTTGTAACTATGTATACATACGAGACATGTACCCTCCTTGTTACTCTGTATACATACGAGACATGTACCCTCCTTCTTAATCTGTTTACACACGAGACATGTACCCTCCTTGTAACTATGTATACATACGAGACATGTACCCTCCTTGTAACTATGTATTCATACGAGACATGTACCCTCCTTGTTACTCTGTATACACACGAGACATGTACCCTCCTTGTTACTCTGTATACACACGAGACATGTACCCTCCTTGTAACTATGTATTCATACGAGACATGTACCCTCCTTGTTACTCTGTATACATACGAGACTTGTACCCTCCTTGGTACTATGTATACATACGAGACATGTACCTTCCTTGTTACTCTGTATACATACGAGACATGTACACTCCTTGTAACTATGTATACACACGAGACATGTACCCTCCTTGTAACTATGTATACATACGAGACATGTACCCTCCTTGTAACTATGTATACACACGAGACATGTACCCTCCTTGTTACTCTGTATACATACGAGACATGTACCCTCCTTGTTACTCTGTATACATACAAGACATGTACCCTCCTTGTAACTATGTATACATACGAGACATGTACCCTCCTTGTAACTATGTATACACACGAGACATGTACCCTCCTTGTTACTCTGAATACATACGAGACATGAACACTCCTTGTAACTATGTATACACACGAGACATGTAACCTCCTTGTAACTATGTATACACACGAGACATGTACCCTACTTGTAACTATCTATACATACGAGACATGTACCATCCTTGTAACTATGTATACATACGAGGGAGACATGTACACTCCTTGTAACTATGTATACATACGAGACATGTTCTCTCCTTGTTACTCTGTATACATACGAGACATGAACCCTCCTTGTTACTCTGTATACATACGACGGAGACATGTACCTTCCTTGTAACTATGTATACATACGAGACATGTACCCTCCTTGTTACTCTGTATACACACGAGACATGTACCCTCCTTGTAACTATGTATTCATACGAGACATGTACCCTCCATGTTACTCTGTATACATACGAGACTTGTACCCTCCTTGGTACTATGTATACATACGAGACATGTACCTTCCTTGTTACTCTGTATACATACGAGAGACATGTACACTCCTTGTAACTATGTATACACACGAGACATGTACCCTCCTTGTAACTATGTATACATACGAGACATGTACCCTCCTTTTAACTATGTATACACACGAGACATGTACCCTCCCTGTTACTCTGTTTACATACGAGACATGTACCCTCCTTGTTACTCTGTATACATACGAGACATGTACCCTCCTTGTAACTATGTATACACACGAGACATGTACCCTCCTTGTAACTATGTATACACACGAGACATGTACCCTCCTTGTAACTATGTATACATACGAGACATGTACCCTCCTTTTAACTATGTATACACACGAGACATGTACCCTCCCTGTTACTCTGTATACATACGAGACATGTACACTCCTTGTAACTATGTATACACACGAGACATGTACCCTCCTTGTAACTATGTATACATACGAGACATGTACCCTCCTTTTAACTATGTATACACACGAGACATGTACCCTCCCTGTTACTCTGTATACATACGAGACATGTACCCTCCTTGTTACTCTGTATACATACGAGACATGTACCCTCCTTGTAACTATGTATACACACGAGACATGTACCCTCCTTGTAACTATGTATACACACGAGACATGTACCCTCCTTGTAACTATGTATACATACGAGACATGTAACCTCCTTGTAACTATGTATACACACGAGACATTTACTCTCCTTGTTACAATGTATACAAACGAGACATGTACCCTCCTCGTAACTTTGTATACATACGAGACATGTACCCTCCTTGTAACTATGTATACACACGAGACATGTATCCTCCTTGTTACTCTGTATACATACGAGACATGTACCCTCCTTGTTACTCTGTATACATACAAGACATGTACCCTCCTTGTAACTATGTATACACACGAGACATTTACCCTCCTTGTTACAATGTATACATACGAGACATGTACCCTCCTTGTAACTATGTATACACACGAGACATTTACTCTCCTTGTAACTATGTATACATACGAGACATGTACCCTCCTTGTAACTATGTATACATACGAGACATGTACCCTCCTTGTTACTCTGTATACATACAAGACATGTACCCTCCTTGTAACTATGTATACACACGAGACATTTACCCTCCTTGTTACAATGTATACATACGAGACATGTACCCTCCTTGTAACTATGTATACATACGAGACATTTACTCTCCTTGTAACTATGTATACATACGAGACATGTACCCTCCTTGTAACTATGTATACATACGAGACATGTACCCTCCTTGTAACTATGTATACATACGAGACATGTACCCTCCTTGTTACTCTGTATACATACGAGACATGTACCCTCCTTGTAACTATGTATACACACGAGACATGTACCCTCCTTGTAACTATGTATACACACGAGACATGTACCCTCCTTGTAACTATGTATACATACGAGACATGTAACCTCCTTGTAACTATGTATACACACGAGACATTTACCCTCCTTGTTACAATGTATACACACGAGACATGTACCCTCCTTGTAATTATGTATACATTCGAGACATATACCCTCCTTGTAACGATGTATACATACGAGACATGTACCCTCCTTGTAACTATGTATACATACGAGACATTTACCCTCCTTGTAACTATGTATACACACGAGACATGTACCCTCCTTGTAACTATGTATACACACGAGACATGTACCCTCCTTGTTACTCTATGTACATACGAGACATGTACCCTCCTTGTAACTATGTATACATACGAAGACATGTACCCTCCTTGTAAATATGTATACACAAGAGACATGTACCCTCCTTGTTACTCTGTATACATACGAGACATTTACCCTCCTTGTAACTATGTATACATACGACACATGTACACTCCTTGTTACTCTGTATACATACGAGACATGTACCCTCCTTGTTACTCTGTATACACACGAGACATGTACCCTCCTTGTAACTATGTATACATACGAGACATGTACCCTCCTTGTAACTATGTATACATACGAGACATGTACCCTCCTTGTAACTATGTATTCACACGAGACATGTACACTCCTTGTAACTATGTATTCACACGCGACATGTACCCTCCTTGTAACTATGTATTCACACGAGACATGTACCCTCCTTGTTACACTGTATACACACGAGACATGTACCCTCCTTGTAACTATGTATACATACGAGACATGTACCCTCCTTGTAACTATGTATACACACGAGACATGTACCCTCTTGTTACTCTGTATACATACGAGACATGTACCCTCCTTGTAACTATGTATACATACGACACATGTACCCTCCTTGTAACTATCTATACACACGCGACATGTACCCGCCTTGTTACTCTGTATACATACGAGACATGTAACCTCCTTGTAACTATGTATACATACGAGACATGTACCCTCCTTGTAACTATGTATACACACGAGACATGTACCCTACTTGTAACTATGAATACATACGAGACATGTACCCTCCTTGTAACTATGTATACACACGAGACATGTACCCTCTTGTTACTCTGTATACATACGAGACATGTACCCTCCTTGTAACTATGTATACATACGAGACATGTACCCTCCTCGTAACTCTGTATACATACGAGACATGTACCCTCCTTGTAACTATGTATACATACGACGGAGACATGTACCCTCCTTGTAACTATGTATACACACGAGACATGTACCCTCCTTGTTACTCTGTATACATACGAGACATGTACCCTCCTTGTAACTATGTATACATACGAGACATGTACCCTCCTTGTAACTCTGTATACATACGAGACATGTACTCTCCTTGTTACTCTGTATACATACGAGACATGTACCCTCCTTGTAACTATGTATACACACGAGACATGTACCCTCCTTGTTACTCTGTATAAATACGAGACATGTACCCTCCTTGTTACTCTGTATACACACGAGACATTTACCCTCCTCGTAACTATGTATACATACGAGATGTACCCTCCTTGTAACTATGTATACATACGAGACATGTACCCTCCTTGTTACTCTGTGTACATACGAGACATGTACCCTCCTTGTAACTATGTATACACACGAGACATGTACCCTCTTTGTTACTCTATATACATACGAGACATGTACCCTCCTTGTAACTATGTATACATACGAAGACATGTACCCTCCTTCTAAATATGTATACACAAGAGACATGTACCCTCCTTGTTACTCTGTATACATACGAGAAATGTACCCTCCTTGTAACTATGTATACACAAGAGACATGTACCCTCCTTGTAACTATGTATACATACGAGACATGTGCCCTCCTTGTAACTCTGTATACATACGAAACATGTACTCTCCTTGTTACTCTGTATACATACGAGACATGTACCCTCCTTGTAACTATGTATACAGACGAGACATGTACCCTCATTGTAACTATGTATACACACGAGAAATATACCCTCCTTGTTACTCTGTATACACACGAGACATGTACCCTCCTTGTTACTCTGTTTACATACGAGACATGTACCCTCCTTGTAACTATGTATACATACGAGACATGTAACCTCCTTGTAACTATGTATACACACGAGACATGTACCCTCCTTGTAACTATGTATACATACGAGACATGTACCCTCCGTGTAACTATGTATACATACGAGACATGTACCCTCCTTGTTACTATGTATACATACGTGACGTGTACCCTCCTTGTAACTATGTATACATACGTGACGTGTACCTTCCCTTACAACTGTGTATATATACGTGACGTATATCCTCTCTTATAACTGGGTATAGGGGTGGTCGAGCAGCCTAGTGGTTAAAGCGTTCGCTCGTCACGCCGAAGACCCGGGTTCGATTCCGGACATGTGTGCAATTTGTGAAGCCCTTTTCTGGTGTCCCCCGCCGTGATATTGCTGGAATATTGCTGAAAGCGGCGTAAAACCACACTCACTTACTCACTTTAACTGTGTATACACGCATGACGTGTACCCTCCCTTACAACTTTGTATATATACGTGACGTATACCCTCTCTTATAACTGTGTATATATACGTGACGTATACCCTCTCTTATAACTGTGTATATATACGTGACGTATACCCTCTCTTATTACTGTGTATATATACGTGACGTATACCCTCTCTTATAACTGTGTATATATACGTGACGTATACCCTCTCTTATAACTGTGTATATATACGTGACGTATACCCCCTCGTATAACTGTGTATATATACGTGACGTATACCCTGTCTTATAACTGTGTATAAATACGTGACGTGTACCCTCCTTGTAACTATATATACACGCGTGACGTGTACCCTCCCTGATAAATTTGATAATTGTGTATACATACGTGACGTGTACCCTCTCTTATAATTGTGTATACATACGTGACGTGTACCCTCCCTGATAAATTTGATAATTGTGTATATATACGTGACGTATACCCTCCCTTACAACTTTGTATATATACGTGACGTATACCCTCTCTTATAACTGTGTATATATACGTGACGTATACCCTCTCTTATAACTGTGTATATATACGTGACGTATACCCCCTCGTATAACTGTGTATATATACGTGACGTATACCCTGTCTTATAACTGTGTATAAATACGTGACGTGTACCCTCCTTGTAACTATATATACACGCGTGACGTGTACCCTCCCTGATAAATTTGATAATTGTGTATACATACGTGACGTGTACCCTCTCTTATAATTGTGTATACATACGTGACGTGTACCCTCTCTTACAACTATGTATACATACGTGACGTGTACCCTTTCTAATAACTGTGTTTACATACGTGACGTGTACCCTCCTTGTAACTATGTATACATACGTGACGTATACCCTCTCTTATAACTGTGTATAAATAAGTGACGTGTACCCTCCTTGTAACTATGTATACACGCGTGACGTGAACCCTCCCTTACAACTATGTATACATACGTGACGTGTACCCTCTCTTACAACTATGTATACACGCGTGACGTGTACACTCCCTTACAACTATGTATACACGCGTGACGTGTACCCTCTCTTACAACTATGTATACATGCGTGACGTGTACACTCCCTTACAACTATGTATATACGCATGACGAGTACCCTCCCTAACAAAAATGTATACACATGTGGCGTGCAGCCTCCATTAGAACTATCTATCCTCACGTGACCTGTATGCTCCTTATAACTGTGCATACACACGTCACATGTAGCCTCCCTTAGAACTGTGCATACACACGTCACATGTAGCCTCCCTTAGAACTGTGTATACATACGTGACGTGTACCCTCCTTGTAACTATGTATACACACGTGACGTGTACACTCCCTTGTGGGTATGTATACATGCCTGACATGTACCCTCCTTGTACCTATGTATCCACACGTGACCTGTATCCTCCTTGTAACTATGTATACATACGTGACGTGTACCCTCCCTTAGAACTATGAATACACGCGTGACGTATACCCCCTCCACCCCTTACCACTATGTATACATACGTGACGTGTACCCTCCCTTAGAACTATGTATACATACGTGACGTATACCCCCTCTCCCCCTTACCACTATGTATACATACGTGACGTATACCCTCCTTGTTCCTATATATAAAAACGTGACCTGTAGGCTCCTTATAACTGTGTATACATACGTGACGTATGCCATCCTTGTACCTATGCATCCACACGTGACCTGTATGATCCTTGTAACCATGCGTACAAACGTGACGTGTACCCTCCCTTGTAATTATGCATGCACACGTGACGTGCACCCTCCCTTAAATCTAACCCTAACCTTCCATTCAATTTGTTGGATTGTACCCGGCTTGTTTGTGAGAATCCACTTCAGGTCTAGTGAGCCTTGAGCGATCAATACATTAGCCTGTGTCAGTGTGTCGACAGTGTGGTGGCTCATGTCTCTACACGTCCGGGTGTTGTGGAGTACACAGCCACTGTTTTACCTGACATTCCCGGCTGCCGGCTGCCACACATACTTGCCTTGAGTTTAAACATCGCCATGTGTGGCAACAGACTCATAAGGAAACTAATGTTGGTGTACAAACAAATACAGGACAGGTAATTTAGACAGACTGTATAGAAATAAACATCAACTCCAACACAGGGTCGACTATTTCTCCATACTTGAGAATCCCATGCAAGCAGGAGTGGGAGAGTGTATCCACAACAGAGAGTATCCAAACCAAGAGAGAAATATGCGACTTACCATGTCGGAGTTTCGCCACGGGTGATCAACGGGTGATGAGATCTCCTGCTCACTAGCGCGTGGAGATTCCCGCGTTCAGCAAGCGTGGTCACGTCAGCCAAACCATGCATTGATCTACTTCACAACAAACACTCGGCCGGCCTTCACATTGACCCTTGAAAAGTGTATGGCAGGTGACCGACATCCATGGTGACCCAAACACAGTCTTGTTAGCTGAGGGGGTATATGTTGATGTGATTGAGGCAACACGCATGCATATTTATGTCATGTAAAGGAAATTGTAAGTTCTACACGTGTGTGTTGAAATATGTCTTAAAGCAAAAAAAAAGGAGTATGTGAATATATTTGTTTGTCACTGGAACATAAAGACAGGGGTGTGTTGATATACACGTGTGTCATGGAAACATAGGGACATGGGTGTGTTGATATACACGTGTGTCATGGAAACATAGCGACAGGGGTTTGTTGATATACACGTGTGTCATGGAAACATAGGGACAGGGGTGTGTTGATATACACGTGTTCCATGGAAACATAAAGACAGGGGTTTGTTGATATACACGTGTGTCATGGAAACATAGGGACAGGGGTGTGTTGATATACACGTGTTGCATGGAAACATAGGGACAGGGGTGTGTTGATATACACGTGTTGCATGGAAACATAGGGACAGAGGTGTGTTGATATACACGTGTGTCATGGAAACATAGGGACAGGGGTGTGTTGATATACACGTGTGTCACGGAAACATAGGGGCATGGGTGTGTTGATATACACGTGTTCCATGGAAACATATGGACAGGGGTGTGTTGATATACACGTGTGTCATGGAAACATAGGGACAGGGGTGTGTTGATATACACGTGTGTCATGGAAACATAGGGACAGGGGTGTGTTGATATACACGTGTGTCATGGAAACATAGCGACAGGGGTTTGTTGATATACACGTGTGTCATGGAAACATAGGGACAGGGGTGTGTTGATATACACGTGTTCCATGGAAACATAAAGACAGGGGTGTGTTGTTATATTTGTGTGTCATGGAAACATAAAGACAGGGGTGTGTTGATATACACGTGTGTCATGGAAACATAGGGACAGGGGTGTGTTGATATACACGTGTGTCACGGAAACATAGGGGCATGGGTGTGTTGATATACACGTGTTCCATGGAAACATAGGGACAGGGGTGTGTTGATATACACGTGTGTCATGGAAACATAGGGACAGGGGTGTGTTGATATACACGTGTTGCATGGAAACATAGGGACATGGGTGTGTTGATATACACGTGTGTCATGGAAACATATGGACAGGGGTGTGTTGATATACACGTGTTCCATGGAAACATAGGGACATGGGTGTGTTGATATACACGTGTGTCATGGAAACATATGGACAGGGGTGTGTTGATATACACGTGTTCCATGGAAACATAGGGACAGGGGTGTGTTGATATACTCGTGTGTAATGGAAACATAGGGACAGGGGTGTGTTGATATACACGTGTTCCATGGAAACATAGGAACAGGGGTGTGTTGATATACATGCGTTTCATGGAAACATAGGGACAGGGGTGTGTTGATATACACGTGTTCCATGGAAACATAGGGACAGGGGTGTGTTGATATACATGCGTTTCATGGAAACATAGGGACAGGGGTGTGTTGATATACTCGTGTGTCATGAAAATATAAGAACAGGGGTGTGTTGATATACTCGTGTTCCATGGAAACATAGGGACAGGGGTTTGTTGATATAGTCGTGTTTCATGGAAATATATGGACAAGGGTGTGTTGATATACTTGTGTTCGATGGAAGCATAAAGACAGGGATGTGTTGATATACACGTGTTCCATGGAAACATAGGGACAGGGGTTTGTTGATATAGTCGTGTTTCATGGAAATATATGGACAAGGGTGTGTTGATATACTTGTGTTCGATGGAAGCATAAAGACAGGGATGTGTTGATATACACGTGAGTCATTAAAACATAGGGACAGGGGTGTGTTGATATACTCGTGTGTCATTAAAACATAAAGACAGGGGTGTGTTGATATACTCGTGTCTCATTAAAACATAAAGACAGGGGTGTGCTGATATACTCGTGTGTCATTAAAACATTAAGACAGGGGTGTGTTGATATACACGTGTGTCATTAAAACATTAAGACAGGGGTGTGTTGATATACTCGTGTGTCATTAAAACATAGGGACAGGGGTGTGTTGATATACTCGTGTTCCATGGAAACATAAGTACTGAGGTGTGTTGATATACTCGTGTGTCATTAAAACATAAAGACAGGGGTGTGTTGATATACTCGTGTGTCATTAAAACATAGGGACAGGGGTGTGTTGATATACAAGTGTGTCATGGAAACATAAGTACTGAGGTGTGTTGATATACAAGTGTGTCATGGAAACATAAGTACTGAGGTGTGTTGATATACTCGTGTGTCATGGAAACATAAGTACTGAGGTGTGTTGATATACACGTGTGTCATGGAGACATATAAACAGGGGTGTGTTGTTATATTTTTGTGTCATGGAAACATAAAGACAGGGGTGTGTTGATATACACGTGTGTCATGGAAACATAGGGACATGGGTGTGTTAATATACTGGTGTTCAATGGAAGCATAAAGAAAGGGGTGTGTTGATATATAGACGTGTGTCATCGAAATATAAAGACATGGGTGTGTTGATATACTCGTGTTCCATGGAAGCATACATACAGGGGTGTGTTGATATACTTCTGTGTCATGGAAACATAAAGACAGGGGTGTGTTGATATACTCGTGTGTCATGGAACATAGGGACAGGGATGTGTTGATATACTCGTGTGTCATGGAAACATAGGAACAGGGTTGTGTTGATATACACGTGTGTCATGGAGACATAAGACAGGGGTGTGTTGATATACTCGTGTGTCATGGAAACATAAAGACAGGGGTGTGTTGATATACACGTGTGTCATGGAGACATAAAAACAGGGATGTGTTGTTAGATTTTTGTGTCATGGAAACATAAAGACAGGGGTGTGTTGATATACACGTGTGTCATGGAAACATAGGGACATGGGTGTGTTAATATACTGGTGTTCAATGGAAGCATAAAGACAGGGGTGTGTTGATATATAGACGTGTGTCATCGAAATATAAAGACATGGGTGTGTTGATATACTCGTGTTCCATGGAAGCATACATACAGGGGTGTGTTGATATACTTCTGTGTCATGGAAACATAAAGACAGGGGTGTGTTGATATACAAGTGTGTCATGGAACATAGGGACAGGGATGTGTTGATATACTCGCGTGTCATGGTAGCATAAAGACAGGGGTCTGTTGATATATACGTGTGTCATGGAAATATAGGGACAGAAGGGTCTTGATATACTCGTGGGTCATGGAAGCATAAAAACAGGAGTGTGTTGACATACACGTGTGTCATGGAAACATAGGGACAGGGGTGTGTTCATATACTCGTGTTCAATGGAAGCATAAAGACAGGGGTGTGTTGATATATAGACGTGTGTCATCGAAATATAAAGACTGGGTTGTGTTGATATTCTCGTGTGTCATGGAAGCATAAAGACGGGGGACGTGTTGATATACAACTGTGTCATGGAAACATAGGGACAGGGGTGTGTTGATATAGACGTGTGTCATGGAAACATAAGGACAGGGGTGTGTTGATATACAACTGTGTCATGGAAACATAGGGACAGGGGTGTGTTAATATATTCGTGTTCCATGGAAACATAGGGACAGGGGTGTGTTGATATAGACGTGTGTCATGGAAACATAAGGACAGGGGTGTGTTGATATAGACGTGTGTCATGGAAACATAAGGAGATGGGTTTGTTGATATATTCGTGTGTCATGGAGACATATGGACAGGTGTGTGTTGATATACTCGTGTGTCATGGAAGCATAAAGACAGGGGTGTGTTGATATACTCGTGTGTCATGGAAGCATAAAAACAGGGGTGTGTTGATATACACGTATGACATGGATTCATAGTGACAGGGGTGTGTTGATATTCTCGTGTTCCATGGAAGCATAAAGACATGGATGTGTTGATATACGCGTCAGTCATTGAAACATAAAGACAGGGGTGTGTTGATATACTCGTGTGTCATGAAAACATAAGGACAGGAGTGTGTTGATATACAAGTGTGTCATGAAAAAATAAGGACAGGGGTGTGTTGATATACTCGTGTGTCATGAAAACATAAGGACATGGGTGTGTTGATATACTCGTGTGTCATGAAAACATAAGGACAGGGGTGTGTTGATATACTCGTGTTCCATGGAAACATAGTGACAGGGGTGTGTTGATATACTCGTGTGTCATGAAAACATAAGGACAGGGGTGTGTTGATATACTCGTGTGTCATGAAAACATAAGGACAGGGGTGTGTTGATATACTCGTGTGTCATGAAAACATAAGGACAGGGGTGTGTTGATATACTCGTGTGTCATGAAAACATAAGGAGAGGGGTGTGTTGATATACTCGTGTTCCATGGAAACATAGTGACAGGGGTGTGTTGATATACTCGTGTGTCATGAAAACATAAGGACAGGGGTGTGTTGATATACTCGTGTGTCATGAAAACATAAGGACAGGGGTGTGTTGATATACTCGTGTTCCATGGAAACATAGGGACAGGGGTGTGTTGATATACTCGTGTTCCATGGAAACATAGGGACAGGGGTGTGTTGATATACACGTGTTTCATGGAAACATAGGGACAGGGGTGTGTTGATATACTCGTGTTCCATGGAAACATAGGGACAGGGGTGTGTTGATATACACGTGTTTCATGGAAACATAGGGACAGGGGTGTGTTGATATACTCGTGTTCCATGGAAACATAGGGACAGGGGTGTGTTGATATACGCGTGTATCATGGAAACATAGGGACAGGGGTGTGTTGATATACTCGTGTGTCATGAAAACATAAGGACAGGGGTGTGTTGATATACTCGTGTGTCATGAAAACATAAGGACAGGGGTGTGTTGATATACTCGTGTGTCATGAAAACATAAGGACAGGGGTGTGTTGATATACTCGTGTGTCATGAAAACATAGGGACAGGGGTGTGTTGATATACTCGTGTTCCATGGAACATAGGGACAGGGGTGTGTT